GCCTGGACAAGGGGGAAGAAAGGAGAAATAGATGCTGATTTTTTTCTGTTAGATGAGGGTCTGTGGTAGGAAATGACCCACAGGTGGACAAGGAAAGAGCTATAAGGACCTGATGAGGAGAGGTCAGGTGGAATGGACAAGCAATACCTCTGGAACAGATGGGAATTCACACTGTATTGTGAGCATTGTGAGTCATGCAGATCAGAGGAGGGAACAGCAGGTAACCTGCTCAGTTCAACATATGTACTTCTTATTCAGGTTTTCCCTATGTCTCCACCTGGGAGAGTCTAACACAAGAAGACTGATGGGCACACCTTATGTCTGCTTTAAATTTAGAATACACAATTATTTTCAAAACCAGTATTTTGCTGTTTTAACTCTAGACTTGATCTCTAGTGAATGACAACCTGTACACTTGCTACTCCCTTCAAAATTAACAAAACCAAAAAAAGCCCCAAATACCCAGACAAGTGGCTGATCTTGAATCTCAGCTCTACCTGGTCCTAGCCTCAAGGAGCGCAGAGGGGCAGTTAACTCTCCCCAGGGGTGGGAGGGTGGACACAGCCACTGTGGACCAGAAGCTGTGCCAGGTGGATATTCTCAGGATGCCTCTGTACACTGGGCTGTGAGTGCTGGCTGATGTGGATTCAGGTCAGCCTACATATAAAGTCCCTCACAAGCCCTGAGAAATAGGACATGCTGTATACATGCATGTACATGGCTGAATAGCCATGAATAGTGAATATTGACTTCCTTCTGTGTATTCAGTTTGACATGGCTATGACTTGTCCCTAAAAACTAGCCAGCACAGAGAGCTGTAAGCGTTGAGTCTAGGGCACCTGGACTGTAACCGTGTGAATCCTGGAAGTGACATGCTTGGGGAAATGGCACATGGTACACAGAGACCTCTCAGACTTGTCCTTACAATTCCATCCATCAACAAAAATATTTCCCCACCAGCAGTACCAAGGCCCTGGGAGGAGCTGGACCAGCTGTTTGGTGACACTGTGGCTCAGGCTTTGCAAACTTGGTGCCCTTGGCCAAACTCCTAGGGCCTGTGTCTGTGGCCATCCCATATGAACCACATAAACTCTGTGTCCATGGTCACTGTTGCTGAGGAGAGTCACCCACTGTCCACTCCTGCCTGCTCTCCCTCCTTGCTCATTTCCCCTGCTCTGCAGTAGTGTCCAATGGCAGCAACAGCATTTCCTCTTAGGAAAGGAAGAAATCCCCAGTGCTGTGCCCTGAGTTCTCGAAAGAGTACGGGAGGTGTGAACCTGGAGAAACCACGGATGCTGCTGCTGCATCCTGAAAGTGCAGGGGAGACACGCACAGGTGTCCGGTCTGACCTTTTGGTAGTCTTTGCTCTAGGGATGTTTGGTAAGACATGTTCCAGTTCCTGGCCTCTCTAGCAAAAGCCCAATGGAGTGGGCATGTGTACTGTGGTCCTCACAGGGCTGGGAGTGCCTCCCAGGGAATGAAGATGCCCCTTCAATACAGCACTTAAAAAAGAAAGGACGTTTTACCATTGAACATACAGCAGAACAGAAGTCAGCAGAGTTGGGTGGGGGAGACAGGTACTAGCCCCATGGGAGGTGGGTGCTAGATGGATATATTTTAGGACAAGGGAAGGAAGTGGTTTGGGGGCAGCTCTGGCCTCCTTTCCCTCCTCCAGTCCCTGCTTCCCCTCATCAACTCCAAATCAACCCCAAGGGCTCAGGCCACTGGCCCTTTTTCCTAGGAGGGAGGAGCAGGAGGTTGCAGGAGAGCCACCTGGGCAGGTGGTATCCTGTGAAGCTGGATCAAAAGGAACACACCAAGGTGCAAGGAAAGAGAACAAACCTCCAGGACAGTCTCCTCTTTTGTACATATTTGCAGAGGCTACAAAGAGAGGAGGAGCTGGTCACAATGCTCCAATGGGAATGTGCTGCTCTTCTGCAAACCTCCAGCAGGGAGTGCCTGTGGCCGGCACTATGCCATGGCCAGGCCCAGGTGGCGGGGCCCACAATGCCCTTAAAGCAAGGGCCTGAAGGTGGCTGTAGTCGTTTTTCTTTTCTTTTTTTTAACTAGAGGAGAATGTTTTCACTTGGTAATCCTAGGAGCTGAAGCCACAGGCAAGCTTCACTGTTCAGAAAGGTCAGGCAGGAAGAGTGAGATTGCCCGGCAGCAGCAAAGTACACGCCCAACGGCAACAACATGCCCTCCTTCCCACATGTGTTCCCTTGCCTGGTGTGCCCTGTCTTCAGAGGCCACTGCCCCCAAACCAGCATAGAGGAACTGGAAGAGTCTCCATGACATACCCTGGCCCTTCCCGTGGCCCACCCAGGGGGTCTGGCTTGAGACTCCTTCTCTGCCTCTGGGCTACTTGAAACCAGGCATTCTCCCAGATCCTCAGGAACACATGGCTCAGGAAGGTCAGAAGTGCATGGACCCTGCTCTAGCCAGGCCTTTGCCTCGTCATGAGACAGGATAAATGCCTATGCCAAGGGTTATGTGAGGCCTAGTGGCCACTGCTACCTCACAGAGTACTCAGTGACACATCTGCCAAGACACTACAAGGCTGGTTATCAGAAGCCAAATAGCTTCGGTAAGGCAATGTCCAAAATGATGTTGTTCATCTTTCTGGGTGGAACGCAGTGGTCCAAGAACTACTGGTGGCGCAGGAAGGCAGAGCTGCCTGCTGGGTAGCAGGTAGGTAACTGGCTCTAGGAGTTGCTGCCTGCCTGAGTTGGTGGCTGTGAGCCACTCCTGAGGTGCTGCCTGAGGAGTCTGTGCTGCCTTGAGGCTCCTGCTCCATCCAGTAGAGCAGCCAGGGATTGGGTGTGACAGCTGCTGGCAGGCAGGAACTTGCAGCCAGGAGGGGCTCTGTGGGGAAGGAAGTGCCATCACCTTCCTGGGTGGTGGTGGTACTGGCTTCACAAGGACTCCCAAGTTGGGAACCTTCTGATCCACAGCAGCATCCTAGGCGCTGCCAGGGACCCACTCCACACCAATCCAACCAGTCTCCAGGGCTCTTACTCTGCCTGTGGCTCTGGCTGTTTTTGGAAGGGCAATCTCATTTTCAAACAGAGCTGCCTCTATCCGTTGCAAATGACTGGGCTGCTCAGCACTACAGACCCTCTATCTCTGTAGAAAGTGGCCTGACTTCAGTGCCTGCCAGTGACCTTGCTCTTGCTCCTCACAATCCTGAGGTATGGACTGCCTATTGCTGAGGGTGGTACTGGCCCAGTTACATCCACCCTGGCATAGCTTGGGGGAGGCCAGACCCTCAGCCCCCAGCCCTTCCTCATGATAAGGGGAAGCCACCATTCACACCCTGCTTCCCAATCCAGAGAATTCTACCACCAGTGGACACAGGGCCATATCTGGACATGTTTTAGTTGTCATAACTTGTGGATGGTGGTGCTGATAAACCACCAACACCACAGAACGCTCCCTTCCCCTACACACACAAACACACAAAGAATTATCCAGTAAAATGTCAGCAGTGCTTTGGGCGGGGGGAGGGGGGTCCTGCCTCACACCCACACCTCCAACAAAGGGGCCTCTTCAAAGGCCTGTCTGAAATCTTATGAGCAATCTCTATTTGAGGTGTGGGCTAAGAACCAGCCTTGGTGGGTGGGAGAGGAAGGTATACAGCCCAGAAAGCCCAGTCAACCACGGATCTGCTGGGGACACTCTACACGTGGCTCAGAACTGGCTCTTCCCCTTTCCTCTTATCCCCCAAGAGCCAGACCATCTCCTCCTGGAGACTTCTCAGTGTGCCCACAGGCACCGAGAGTGGCCAGCTTGTCTCTTCCGGTGGGGAAAGTGCAGAAACTTCACCCACATGAGGTGCTTCAGAGGCACAGGCAGGACCAGCCACCCAACAGGTCCTGTGTTTCCACCACTCTGATGCAGAGTGCAGCTGCCAGAGATCAGCAGCAGATGGGCCAGGCCCTTCTGTCAGGAGGGAAACTGAGGATGCAGGCCTCCTGGTAGAGAGGGTTGAACACGTATTCCATGGCTCCTGGTTGTTCCCAGCCCCTCTTGCTCTACAATCACCACTTCTCTTTGCCAAGTACCTTACCTCCTGCTGATCTTCCCACCTGGCCTAGTCCCTGAGGTCCTGGAAATACACTCAGAAAAGCAGTGAGCAAACACATCTGCTTATCTATGCTTGTTAATGGCTAAGGAATCAGTCTTCCATGTTTTGACATCTCAACTCTGAATTCATTGCTAATGATATCTGAAAACACACACTAAAAAAATCAATTCACACTTTAGGGTAGTGTTTTTGGCCACTGTGTTTTGAAAACAAAGATAAAACTGCATAAAAATAGCTGTCAGGAGGGAAAAGGGGTGCTATCCAACACTTCTCAAATGCCTGGGTGGACATGCAGGAGCAAGAACAGTCTTAAATCTGAGTACCTGCAGCATCTCAGTTCCTGCACGAGGCAGTCGCAGGGCTCATCAGAGTTCAGATTTATTCTCTAAAAATTACTACTTATTATTTGGAACAGAGAAGTACTTTGGGAGGCTGTTTTAATTTTTTTGTTTGATATTTTATTTTATTTCATTTTTCTGGGCATAGTCCTGAACTTTTGGCTAAAGCTGCACGTGGGAAAAAGTGAGAGGTTGGCTCCCAGTCCTTCACAACAGCACACCCATGGGCATGTAGAGAGGTGGGCCTACAGGAGGATGTAGCTGACAGCCAGCTTCCTATTTGATTTAGGCATCTGCAGGGGAATTAAGGATGAAAGGAAAAGCGTAGCAATGTGAGAGAGATGAGAGACACAGAGCCACAAAGAAGTTTCTGCACAGCAAGCAGAGGGAGCACAGGGAATGAACACCACAGAGTGGGCCATGCACTGGTCTCCCCAGTGGCTCCCAAACTACCATGCTAGCCTTCCTCTGCAATCAGACAGTTCTCCTGGCTTCAATGGTCAGGTGGTGATGGCTTCCTGGGGGCATATGCTAGTAAGGGTGGGCAGGGCCAGCCAGGCCCCCATGGTGTTGGATGAAGCTCACACAAACCCCAGCTCAGTGTAGCCCACAGCAGCTTTCTCCCATGCCATCAGGCTGGGAACCGCTTCATCTTTGGTCTGCACGAGGAGAAACCTCATTTGTTTCTGTAGACATTCCTTTGGCCTCAGCTCTCGCCTAGACCTTGAAAAGATAAATTCAGCAATTCACTTACAAGGATCCCTCTGTATCAAAACAGGCCTTAACAGTTTCCATACAACTTTTAACCAGGAGAGTAGGGGAAATACAATAAATGAGCCCTCTAAATAAAGTTTAAATTCCTTCAGTCAGGGAGGCAATGTGGCTGCCATTCTGGGGAGAGCATAGTGCACACAGCCTAGCCACACATATGTGTCACTGAAACTTCAGTGTCCTATATGGCAGAAGAGGACATTGCTCAGGGCCTAACTTGCATTGGCCCAAGTTTCATCTCCTCTGGATGTGAAATAGAAACATGAGGTCTCCAACTAGACAAGGCATTTACAAAAACATAAATAGCTAATGCTACTCAAGGATGAGAGGCTAGGTGCCTCCCCCAGAGGTCATAGGCAGGACAGGGAATTGCTCTCACCCTTCTAGGCAGTCAATTAAATAAGAAAAAGAAATAAAAAGAGATCCAGGTGAGCAGTACAGCTCTCTCTGGGAGTGGAATTACTGGGTCAGACTGTGACTTTGTTTACCACCATGCTGAACTAAGCACATATGGACACAGAAACCTGTATATGAATGTTCATTCACAATGGGCAAAAGGTGCAAACAGCCCAAATGCCCATTGACTGAAGAATGTGAGTAGGTCACTAATGTCCCATCGGTGCAGTGGACATTATGCCACAATAAGGAACGAGGAACTAGCCATGTGGCAACATGGATGAACCTTGAAAATGCTAAGCTGACTGAAAGAAACCAGACACAAAAGGCCATGTATCGTATTGTATGATTTCACTTGTATGAAATGTCCAGAATAGGTGAATCTGTGGAGTCTGAAGGTAGATGAGTGGTTGCCAGGGGCAGGTGGGGTGTGGGATGACTGCTAATGGGGACAGAAGACTTCTTTTGGGGGTGATGAAAATACTCCAAACTTTATAATACTCTGAGGATATTCCAGATGGAACACTTTAGGCAGGTGAGTGATACAATGTGAAATGTACCTCTGCAAAACTCTTATGCAAAGAAATAAATGAGTCAGGCATGGTGATGCATGCCTATAATCCAAGCACCTAGGAGGCAGAGGCAGGAGGATCTTGAGTTCAAAGTCAACATGAGCTACATAGCAAGATCTTATCTCAAAAAAGAAAAATAATGGGTCCTTCTAGTATTAGTACATGGCCTTCCTGACATGGCATGTTCCTGTTGGTTGAAGTTTCAGGTGGCTTTGAGAGATTTGAGAGACCAACTTTTTCTTTTCTTTGAATCTACTCATCTTCCTCAAATTAAACTACAAACCACATCAACAAATTGTCTCTGCCATGCTACTTGTGAGTATGGGTTGTCTGCATACCCTTGCTCTATCCCTGGGACATGCCTGTTATCCATCTTCAAGCAGGTCCACTTCCATCCATGTCCCAGGATGAGGGCCTGGCAAGTGCCAGGCTGGAGAAGTCACTAGGAGTTACACTGATGGTGGGTGGACTCGCTTGGGCCCCAAAGGGGAACCTCTGCCAGATTCTGGCTGGGCTGTCCTGGCTGACTGCAGGAGAATGTGGTAAGTGTCACTTGTTCTACTGAGATGAGTGGGGAATCCATGAGCACACAATTCCATCTCAGATTGACTTTAAACACAGGTGGACCTTCAGAAGGTGACGTAAATGTTACTGTATTGAGAAGTGATCTTAAAATTAATTTTAATGAAAGTAAATTAATTGTCTTTCCTACCTAGTTAAGCTTTGATATAAGCCACCTGAATGTCATACTACCCTGAGGTGCATTTATTCTAGGTACCTGACTAAAGACCCTGGGCACTCCAGGACAAGCAATATGCACACACCCTCACACTCACACACCTTCACACTCACACAGTGCTCACACAAAATGTACGCACACAGGGTGCACACATGCTCTTGCAGCACACAGGTACACACATACCCTTGCACAAATTGTGCACACAGGCACTACATGCTCAGCTCACACACACAAGTACTGAGAGGCATTCTGTCTATAGCTATCATTCTTCCTACTGTTTTAAAAGTAACACAGAAAATTTTACTTTCAATCTCTAAATCTGCTTCTAGACCAATGTTGTCTTATCTTTTCTAGTCCTTGGACATGGCTCAAGAAATCAAGGAGGCTTCTATGTAGACTTCCTCTTCTGGCCCTGAAGTCTGTGGGCTTCTCAGCAAGGACCTGTGACAGCCCTCTACAAGCTGTGTCTGGCCCTGCAAGGTCCATGCCCTACTCTGGCAAGGGTAGTCCACGGTGGAGCTCCACACAACAGGCTCCTTCCTGTGAGGACCTCACTGTGGGAAATTGGGCTTTAATGGTTTGGGGATTTTGCTTCACAGATGGAACTTGTATCCCTTGAGACAGGTGGTATGAGAATTCTAACATTGTGGACATAAATGCACAGCATTCTTCCATGAGGGGAATGTACAGCACCCTTAAGGCAGCCTCAGCATGGCCCTGCCACTGTAGGAAGGTTTACTCCACCTGTCAATTCTGGGGTTGTGGCAGGGCCAAAGGAAATAGAGAGGAACCCAGCCTCTTCCTGCTTGTTGCATAAGTACCAGGTACCCCATGCTACCATTTTCACTCCTGAAAGGTGGCTGGCTCCTCTTCCCATACTCACACTCCTGCCCTGTGAGCATCACTCTCTTCCTGTACTCGAAGCCTGCGTGGGCCCAGTGTGACAGTAGCTGACACTCATGAGAGCCATTCTGAGAGACTGCAGAATCAACTGTCCTGACCAATGTCAAACTAATGAAGAAACCAAGGGACAGAGAGATAAGAGAACTTACCTAAGGCCTTATAGCTATTGAGTTATGAAGCAGTCTCAATTTAATCACTGAGCTGTAAGTCTGTCACATCTGAGGCCAGGCTGACCTAGTGGATAACACTTTGTTGGTTCCAAGGGTGTGAGAGAAGGAAAACCCAGGATCTGGTGCTGCTCTCAGGTAATACACTTAAATGAAAATGCTCAATAGTGAGGCTCCTGGGATAGCAATGTCCCTCCTGCTTTGCAGTGTTCCCATCCCTCCCCAGTCTTGGCTGCAGTTTCATTAGAAACTATTTAACTTTAGCACTTCATGACACTGGGAGTGCAAGCCACACACTCTGGTGCCCTAACCTGTCACAGACACCCCCCACCCCCGCCAACTGCTGGCCCTGCCACCAAGGTACCTCAAGGCCCTTACAGGCTGACCTTACTGTGTCAGGGGCTCGGGTTCACATGCTACCCATATGGGTGTGTGGGGAATAGAGATTTGGATTCCAGAGCTGGTGTTTCATCCAACCAGGACGTTTTTTTGTTATTCAGAACTGAGGAGCTAAAATGACAGTATTTCTGAGGCCTGGGCACTTCCTCATGCCATCCCTTCTGGAAATTCCTGTCTTCAGCATCAAAAGTCAGTGGCTTAGAATTCCATCAGCTTGGGCCCAACATGTCCTTCCAAGGCACGAACAGCACCAGAGACCCTCCGCCTCTTCTAGTCCTTAGTTTGCCAGAGAAAGAACTGCTGTCTCCCACCTTCTTCCCTTGAACTTTTGCCATGTAGGAGAATGAAAGGAAACAAGGGTTCCCAACTTACTGCAGAGATGTAGGGCAGATGTAGGAGGCCTTGGTCATTACCCTTGGTCATCATCTGGCTGGGCAGAACATGTGATAGGCTGCAGGAAGCTCAGTGAAGAACACCTCCTCAGCTTCCCTACATTCATGGGGGCAGGGTAAACCTGCCATGCCTCCCAAACACTTGACAGCTTCAGGTGTGAGTGCAGGATGCAGGAGGACCAGAATATGGATACCACCTGGCTCTGCCCTGCTTGGCAGGCTGCCTAACCCTCTCAGGCTGGAGGCAGAGGACCCGTTCTGGGCTCTCCACGTATTGTCCCCACCCCAGAGCTGGCTCTGCAGCCTGGCTGTGATTCAGCCTGTATTTATAAGACACTGCAGTGGTTACAGAGAACACAACCGTAATTGAAACAACCGAAAATAACTGTTGGCAGAAAAGCCCATACTTAGGGCAGCCTTCCTCCAGTAATTCTCAGGGCTTTGCAAAGCCACCAGTTCAACTGTCGTTGTCTTTCTTTTCTGCAGTCTCTTGAGAAGAGAAGAAGCCCCACAGAGGGCCAGTAGACAGACGCCAATGAGATCCTGATGGGATATGCTGACAGGCCCTGCCCCAACCTCAGCTGTGGGGCTGGATCTTCAAATAATAAGGCGAGTTCAAGGCAAACATGGCAGCAGGCCCTTCTCCACAGAGGACACTGGCAGAGTGTGTTTGGTGATTCGGGAGCTTGGGAGGAAATGCCAGTGGGCAGAACACCATTTCCTCTGAGCCTGCAAGAGGACTGCTAACTTCAGTGGCTCCACCAATGCCATGTCAGAAACCCATGTGGCATGAAGGTCACCCTTAACTCCCCTCCCTACTAGCTCACAGAACCCTAGAGAGATGGTTTCAAGTATGCCTCCTGTAGGCCCCTCAGTCCCAGGCTCTTCCCTCATCTCCCACCAGACTCAACTTCTTTTAGGAGGAAGCAGAACTACTGAGACAAAACCTCTGAAATACTGCTGAGAGAAACATTTTTAAATCACTGGATTGAGATATCACAGTACATGGTTTATCTACCACAGACGTCACTCGCTTGAAGTGTAGAATTCAGTGGCTTTCAGTGTATTCAGAGATGTGCAGCAGCCACCACAGTCTAATACCAGAGCGTTTTCATCACCCTGAAAAGAAACCTCAAACCCACAGGCGTCCATCCCCATCCTCAGCTCACTACCCCAGGCTGGGACTTTCCCTTGGTTTAGGGGTTGTTCCAGAGTCTATGCAAATATGGGTCATTATGAATGTGGATCTCTGTTCCATTCTTTTGTTAAAAGAGTAGTGAAGACCCTGGATTTTAAGAACCAACAAGTTGTCTTCCAGCTGTTCCAAAGAAGCCGTCGTACATTATGATAATTCAGACCCAGGTATGTGAATCTGTGGGATAGA